TGGTGGGGCTGTGTTGGCAGTCTGGGAAGGGCTTCAGCTTGCTCAGGGCTTGCTGTTCATCCTGCTGGCATTTGGGGTGAAACAGGGGGGCTGAGGATTCTCCCACTCCCTCATCCTGCCCACGCAGCCCCCTGACAACTCAGAAACCTGGTCCAGCCATCACAGATGTCCCCTGGTCCCTGGCCCAGGGCTCGCTCACGCCCAGCTTCTCCGTGCACGTGGCTCTGCAGCAGGGACACCCCGGCTGAGCATCCCCCAAGCTGGGCACGCTGGAGCCTGGCACAGCACAGCAGAACAGCGATGCTCTGGGGAGCATGTCTGGCACTCCGAAAGCTTCGCATCTATTAAACAACTCTCTGTTGGCCCTGCTGGGCCACATGTCTTGGTCATATTTGTCGGTAAGCCTTGGGCTAGCCTGGGGGAAGCCCTGCCTGCGGTGGGGGCGGGACGGGAGAAGTGACGTGCCCTGCCGGGTTGCTTTCCTTTAAGTGTTTGTTCTGTTGGCCATTTGCATGAGAAATGTAGGTGTTGGGGGTAGCTGAACAGTTGAAAACGAGGATGACAGAGCCCATGGGAGCTCCTGCTTGACCTTGTGCTCCATGGCTCATGCCAGGTTTGGTTTTCTTGCCTGACCCCCTCCCCACCTCCCTGCCTGCACACCTGCATGCAGCCCACACAGAAGCCCCTCCACTGTTTTTCCAGGTCATGTCTTTGCATGGTTTTCCCTGCCTGACTCCAAACAGGGGGTGCAAGGATGAGAGCCCAAACAGCCGGGTGTGGGTTTAACAGAGGCCAAATGGGGAGGACTGGGGTGCACCAGGGTGATATTAACACAGTTCTTGGGCAGGGCTTGGCATTGCCTGGGCAGCTCTTGTGGCCCTTCCTCAGAGCCCGTTTTCTGTATCCATTTTCCATGTGGTTTATGAGCTCTTGCAATATCGCAGCATCAGGCACCACCGGCTGCGCCTGGGGGCTCAGCAGGGACCCCAGCCTGCACCTCCCTGGGGCCAGCAGTGACCTCGTGCAGCCGGGGCAGTCCTGGTGCTTGGCTGTCCCCTGCACTGGGTGCCAGGGATGCAGCTGAAGGACTCCAGCACCCCTGCCATGCACAGCACCCACACTGTGCACAGTACCCCCCCCATTCACAGCACTCACACCATGCACAGCGCCCATGCACAATTCTGCCGCTTGGTGTCACCTGCCATAAAAAAGTCAGAGCTGAGATGTGCTCAGCAGAGCCCAACCTGGGGACCTTCCAGCCATGGGAGCAGGGACACGAGGGATGCCCCGGGGCAAAGGTGCCCAGGGGGGACAGCAAAAACGTTGTGCGGTTCAGGGACTCTTCATGGGGTGGGCATCTGCCTGCCTTGGATCTTTAATTATATGGAAACATGCAATACATTAAAGCCTTCAAGGATAGGATAAAAGCTAACATGGAGACTTAAAGTACCTTACCCTCTCTATCTTCATCTCGCCCCAAATTATCCACGGTGGGTGGTGGGAAGAGTTTGGCAAGGGCCCATCCATACCATGGGCACAGGTCCAAAGCAGCCAGCAGGACTCTGCACTCAGCCCGGCACCTTGGGTCCCAGCTTTCCAATGGTGGAGGGTGACAAAGACCCATGGCTCCCTGTCCCTATGCCCAGGACCCTGCCTCCATGCTCCCACCCCTGCTCCACCGCATCCCCCCAGCACCAGAACCAAGCTGTGAAGCTTGGCCCTTCCTGTGTGCCTCTGCTCGTGTCTCTGCTGCTCCCAGCCAGTGCCTGATCTCTGAAGGAGTTCATCTGCCCCTCCATCACTTCATTGCGGGAACGGTCTTGGCGTGCTGGCCGGGCACCCTGGTTTACTCCCCTTGGCCAGAGCAGGGCTGGTGTGGAGCCCCATGCCTTAGGGGACTCCCCCGTTGGTCAGCATGGGCCCCCCGAGCTGTCCTTGCACAGTAGATGCTCAGAGCAGCCTCTCCTGGTGCTGGCCCTGGGGCCAGGCTGCACCGTTCGCGTGGAGCCCAAAACTGCAGGAGGAGGCATCACAGCGGAGGAGTGGGGCACCGGTGGGTGCAGCCCTGGCTGGGACAGGGACCTGGGCTCTTTCTGCAGGGTGCTGTGTCCCCCCTTCCAGAGAAGGGGACAGTGACAGGGACCCACGCTCTGCCAAGCAGTGTGTGTGAAGGGACAGTGGTGGCTCTGCTGGAGCACAGGACCCCAAAGGGTCACCAGCCTGCAGTTGCAGCGGGGTGCAGCCAATGCCTGCAAAATAGGAGTGGGGCCAGGCACAACCAGCACCATCCCTCTGCTTGGCCAGTGTCCCCAGCAGGCGGGACACTGGGGACATCTCTCTTGCCATGTGCCATGGGAGTGTGCAGCAGGCTGGAAGCAAGGGGCTGGCAGAGGAGCTGAGATGGGTTCACAGCCTCCTGGGCTCTCTGAGCACAAAAGCTGGAAATGGCCTTGCTTTTAATAGGTTTTTTTTTCCAATGAATTTTGCACTTCTCACCTGATCCCAGGTGGCCGCAGGTGGTGGGCAATGCAACCCCTGGGGAGGAAGAACATTTTGGGACAGGGGTCCCTAAAAATTTGGGTCCTTATATAGCCTGCAGCTGCTGGCAGGATGAGCTGGTGCCGCAGCTCCACGTGGCTGGGGGTTTGTGCACTGCTTCAGGGCTGGGCTGGGCTGGAGGATTCCTCTGAATTATTTCCAGATGGGGATTAATGCAGCAAACTGAGTTTGCTGCAGGATAGATAAACAAACCAAAGCTCCTCTAGATGCTATTAATAAACCGCCTGCCTGCTGCTTCTGCCCCAGATTTGGGAACATCCTGGTCCTGGCCTGGGGCGCAGGCATGCGCTGCCTTGCTGCCCTTCCAGCCCTTTGGCCGCGGGGCAGAGGCGCCAGGGATTCCTCCAGGACCGTGACCACTGGGGTCCCAAACGGGACTGGAGCTGCAAGGGTGTGAGTGGAGGACAGTGTCTCTGCTCCAGGCCCCCATGTCAGGCTGCGGGTGGGATGAGGTGCGACCGGCCGTGTCCCCTGGTCCCCGCTGAGCTCTGCCAGGGACGGTGGGCTGTGGGAGGTGACACCTCTGCTCTCCAGCCTTCTGCTGCAGGGCTTCAGGCAGCTTTGAAACCGGAGCAGGTGTAAACAGGGTGGAAGCAGACTTTGAGCCCTCTCGAAGCAGCGCTGCCGTGCTGGGGCGAGGGTAAACAAATTTTGGGTGGCTGCAGCCCGGAGAGCTCACCTTGCCCACGCCTTCTCATGTGGGGGCTCCTGGGTGTCCCCCAGTATGCACGCAGATCTGTGATCCTGCTGGGCAGGAGGAGGGTGGCCCATGGGACTCACATCCCAACCCTCCTCATTTTGGCATGGCTTGTGGTCTCCTGCCAGGGGCAAACAGAGCCTGGCCAAGGGCTGGGCTCAGCAGGGTGGCCCATGACTCCCAGCAGAGCTCCCCATTGAGGACCTCTGGGCATGGTGGGCTAGCACAGAAGATGGGGTTAGACCTGCTGATGATACGATTTAAGCTTTGTCTCACTGCAGCTAGCTACGGGGGTCCTGGGTCCATACAGCCCCCTGTACATGGCTGGTGAGGCAGCACACCCATGGGGATGCCCCGTGGGGAGGATGGAGGCCAAGAGATGGGTCTGGTTTTGCTTTTTTCCAGCTCTCCAGCCTGCAGCGCACACAAGCAGTTAATCTTAGGCTGCACAGAGCTGGCTGCTTACCTGGCTGGAGCAGTGCCTGGCAGAGGGAGGGACGAGGGCACGGCTCCGCACCTTGCCAGGGCAGGCATCACTGTAAAAATATTTGCTGAAAAAAGTGCAGCTCCACCCCAAGGAAAACTGGGGCCTGGAGCACAACCCACTCTGGGTTTGCAGACTGTGGGTGGCGGTGAGTGGCGAGCGGGGGAA